AAATCTTGAACCATTGTCAGCCCTTTTGGTAGAGCCCAGATCTCAAGAAAGTAAAAAATCGTGCAAATACCTAGAACTAATAGGCTTGGCATCCAGGTCGTTAAAAATATATTCCATGTATGTTAAATTCATGAGAGATGTTCCCATTGTGCGAGTAAGACTGGTGATCCCATCCATCCAGGGTGTTCGAATAATTTTTGCTTTCAGAAATTTAAAGCTGTAAATCGAATTGTCCAACTTGAAAATTTTCAACTACAATGGACTTTGGGTTCAGGCCCATTAAAAATTTGACAAATTCCCATACGCCCTAGATTTTGTTGGTTGGTTTGAAGATTTTCATGATTAATGGGAACAAGTTTAGAGAGAGAGAGAGAAATATTCTATCAAAAATAATTAATTAAGAGTTACTTTAACAAAAGAGATTGCAAGAAGATATGTTGTCATTTTTTTAGTCAAATTAGTGAAGATGACTCTAGATTGGATGAATCAAATTTGTTTTCAATGTTTTGGTTAAAAAGCTGACGACAATCCAAGTAATCCCAGCTTACCGACAGAACAAACTCTGTGCACCCACAACGTTATCATATTACAACTTTGAAGAAAAGATTCATAAAAGCACCGAAAGATATAATTAACTCCAAAGTCGGCTCATGAGCGATTCAGCAATGAAAATGATATTCTTTTTATACGTAAACAACAGTTTACAGGAACCCAGAAGTCAATATCAGAAGAAAGTAAGGTGAACATTTTTCCTCCGGAAATTTCAGCCCCAAATGGAGTTGTTAGATGGCCCATCTTTTCTTTTGTACATGAAAGTCATTCAAGGAGATGATTTTCCAGGACGGATTAAGCAATGCAGACTCAAGCAATAATGATCCTCTAGATATAGTGGAATAATTCAAATAAATATATCGATGATCCAGTAGCTGAGGTAGGGATGTCAATGGATTGGGACCCAATTTTATATAGAGGTGCTTACGATTTGGTTAATCGAATCAGTATTGTTGGCTTTTGGAAAATTGGTAATCGAAATTGAACCGAAGTCAATCGGTTAATTGGTTGATCAGTTTGGTTAGTCGTCGGTTTTTGGTTTTTTAATTTTTATAATATATATTATAAGATTATATGAATATATATATATAATATTATATTATATTTTAAATAATAAAAAATATATCATATATTATAAATATATCTATATATAATGCATATTTATTAATTTATAATATATATAATATAATATAAATAAATATTATAAAATATATAGAAATATATGTATACCAATCGGTTAGGTTAACCGCTGATTTTCTATATTGGTTAACTGAAACCGAACTGGTACCTTCGATTTTTTAAAAACACCGAACCAATTGGCTCGATTAACCAATTTTTCAGTTTGTTTTCGATTTCTTTACTCACCCCTAATTCTATAAGATTGGATTAGAGTCCGAGATTAAGGTCAGATTAGGGTTTTGATTCTTTAACACAAGTTGAATTCGAACCGGGTTCACTTGTCGTTCCTCTCTTTTAATATCTCTTCGGGATAAGTTGAATGGACATCACATGTCACATGCACCCTACTACTACCAAAAGAAAAAGATAAATATGAATATGATAAAGAAAACTTCCATGAATTAAATAAGATTTTTTTTAGTTTGGTAATGAATTAAATACATCTCAACACATAAGAAAGACATGTTAACAGCGTGTTCCATGTGAAACATTGCTTTTGTTTAAGCCTAAGAGCAATTGTAATTTATATTTGTATTTCAAATATACAACGTGGTGTAATTTCTAAATTCAAATAAATCTATACTCTACTTAAATAAAATGTTTAATTATAAACCAAAATTAAAAAAAAAATACCCACATGAAACACACCATTACAAATCAACTTACACGATACATCTAGAGTTAAATAAAAGGGAAAATTACTCAATTTTGAAAAGCAAGAGAAATTCCAATCGGTTAAGGCTGCATAAACATTAAAAGATACAAATCAACTTACACGATACATTTCTTATTTTAAGGACTTATCTCCTTTTTGCAGTAAAATATCCTTATGAATATTGAATTTTAATAACAATAAGGAAGTTCAAACAACTTTTCCCAAATAATATATTATATGCGTACATTTAAACCTATTTCAAATCGATATGCATAAACATTAACAATTCATTTTAAATTTATAATTAACACATCAGAATCAAAAACCCACACATCAAGTTAATTAGATATGCAATATATTTATTTCTCATTCTTGCAAGCAAGGTTTAAAGTATTGTTATGTACTGGCCGATACGCATCATTCTGGGACCCTTCCGATACGCCCCTACAGTGGATGTATCGTGGGTCTGATCAGTTCAGGGGATGGAGGGGTCCTAGACCGTCTCCCCTGAACCAGTTTTGAAAAAGAATAATAAAAAGTAAAAAAATAAGTATTGAAATGCCCGATACACCCCTACATGGGTTGTATCGGGTCAGCCACTGGTTCAGAGGGTAGTCGGGCCTTAAACCAACCCCTCTGAACCAATTTCGAAAAAAAAAATAAGTGAAACATAAAATAAAAGCACCGATGACACAGGCCGATATGCCCTACCGGCATATCAGCCCGTGTCGATATTTAGAACCTTGGTCCAAAGACCCAACCACATGGGGTGACTACATGACTACTATTCCACCATTCAATTCTGTTTAACATCATATTCAATGTAACTGATTCATTTTTTTTGAGGGTGCTGCAACCAGTCTTCTATGCATGTGACCAAACCACAATCAAGGAATGATGAAATTGGACTTGGTATTACAATGCAAGACGGAGCCCACACTGTGTTTACAGTTTTTTTACAGCCGTGCATTAGAAACATTTCCATACTTGTATGCTTTTTTAATGGGATGCTGTTCTCTATACAAGGCTGGAACAGTGTGAGACTGAGAATGAGGACCAAATCCAATTTCAACCTTTTCATGCCTTGCTAACACCGGTACACCCAAAATCAATTTGAACAGAATATGGGAAGGCTCAAAAGTCGGTACATATTGATATCGTCCCAATACACATGCATTACAATATTTTAAACCTTGGACAAAACCACTTAATTTTAATTTTTTTCATTTTAACACCCATTAAAATTATTCCTTTGTTCCTTTGAACGAGGTCAATTCTAGTCCTAACATTTCTAATTTTTCCCCTCATCCATTTAAGCATATGCATCTTTGCAAAGGCATTTTTCTTTAGGCTGAATTTGGAAGGAGTACAAATGCAAATATGTAGACTGCAAAACCTTATATTTTGTATTATTTTGCACGTATTTACGCTGTACATATTTGCATTTATACTCTTTCTGGCGATCAGAACGTATATGGATAGAACTTATAACGGGGTCTCAAAAAACAAGTAATTTCTGCTAGGCCTTTATCCTTTTTTTAGGTTCACTAGAGTTCTTATTGGTTGGAACTTCCAGTTTTCTTGGCAGGAATCTGATATCCTTATTTCCGTCTCAGCAAATCCTTTTTTTTCCACAGGGAATCGTGATGTCTTTCTATGGGATCGCAGGTCTGTTYATTAGCTCCTATTTGTGGTGCACAATTTCGTGGAATGTAGGTAGTGGTTATGATCGATTCGATAGAAAAGAAGGAATAGTGTGTATAACACATGCAAATCGGACGGGAAGTGATGTTTCCAGTGGCGGACGGGTGAGTAACGCATAAGAACCTGCCCTTGGGAGGGGAACAATAGCTGGAAACGGCTGCTAATACCCCGTAGGCTGAGGAGCAGAAGGAAGAATCCGCCCGAGGAGGGGCTCGCATCTGATTAGCTAATTGGTGAGGCAATAGCTTACYAAGGCGATGATCAGTAGCTGGTCCGAGAGGATGATCAGCCACACTGGGACTGAGACACGGCCCAGACTCCTACGGGAGGCAGCAGTGGGGAATTTTCCGCAATGGGCGAAAGCCTGACAGAGCAATGCCGCGTGGAGGAATGCTCTTCTAAACATATTGATGCCAGGGGTGAAATTTCAGCTTCTGAATCTCAATTAATTGAATCTCCCGCTCCAAGTATTATTTCGAGACGTTCCATATATGAACCTCTTCAAACAGGGCTTATTGCTATTGATTCGATGATCCCTATAGGACGCGGTCAGCGAGAATTAATTATTGGGGACAGACAGACCGGTAAAACAGCAGTAGCCACAGATACTATTCTCAATAAAAAGGAACCCAAGATTCAACTCCATACAGCATTTTGAGACATCAATTTACAAACATTGTTGACCTTATTATGCACCTTTGCAACCCATTTTGAGACATTTTTCTTTAGGCCGACTTTGGAAAGAGTTTTGTAGAGTGCAAAACCTTATATTTTGTATTATTTTGTATATATTTACACACTACATATTTGCATTTGTACTCTTTCTAAACTGAGCCTTAACAATCCAAGATTCTGCTCTATACAGCATTGTTGACCTTAAAATGCTGATTCAATTTACAAACATTTAACCTTACTATAAAATTTTATTTTAGATGCATGTTATTCCAAAGGATCAAACCTTGTATCAGTCTATCAATCAATATAAACAAGATTCAAAGTATCAATACATATCGACTCATATCGAAATGTATCATGCCGATGGCTTCCCGATACACCCCTCCAGAGGGTATCAGGTCACACTGGTTCAGAGGGTAGCCCGTAGCTAAGCCTTAAACCAGCCCCTCTGAACCGGTTTCGAATAAAATAAATGAAACCTAAAAAAAGTACCGATACAGGCCGATACACGGGTATCGGCCCTCATCAGCCCTATAGTTTTTATACTTTAAACCTGGCCTTGAATACTTTGTAGAATGGATTTGATATATCATGGATTCAGATGGTGTATTGTTCCCTTCAACACTAAGAAGACTTGGGAAAAATTCAGTGGGGTTGCCAAGGGGCAATGGACCAGCTTAACATTTAGGCAATTTTTGGAACTTAAGATTCAGAGATTAGGAGCCAGCGGACCAGATGAAGAACAAGAGGCTTAAGCAAATAGATACACTAAGAAAAATGGGATATAGATACAAGCCAGGTAGGGCCACCGGCAAAGGAGGGTAAAACAGATTACAGCAAATAACTACTTGCTCTTGGCTGACAATAACCAACAAACGATAAAAGCAAGCCTGCCCACATTCATAACCATAGAGAAGAACAAAACAACTGCTTCAACAACTTGATAAGCGTAAGCCATATAATCTCATGCACCAAAAGCCAGTAACCCAGTCCTGGAATATTTTCTCCATTATGCCAATGCAAGCATTAGCTAGAGCAAAACAACGAACCCCCATTTAGACTTGGTTACCACCTCCCCTCCCACGGCCACCCATTCGTCCCCGCCCACGACCATAGCCTCTACCTCCACCCCTGCCTCTTTCATATCCAGCACCTATCAAAAGATTGATGTTCAAATGATCAACACAAAATGATATGAAAGCAAGTCTTTTATAAGGAGCAAAGAACTTGTTGTGAGCAGACTTGACCAAATAGGATTTTTTTTTGGTAATTTAACAAGATCTCCCCATCAGGTTAGGCTGTTTTGTCAAGTTTCTGCTCCAAAAAATACTATTTGAAGAATGAGTTTCCAGCAAAAAATAATTCCTTTTTTGAAGACAATTTTTCAACTCCAAAAAAATAAATGCTAAAATTGAGTTTTTAGTAAAAAAAAAAAGAATTAGTTCCATAATTCCCACACATCCAAACTTAAAAATTAATTCTCAGAATCACAAAATTCAACAGAATTAATTCTCCAAAAGCATGCCACACGGCCATTGAAATTAAAATGTCCAAAGGGAGAGCAACATAGCAGATCAGAACCATTGACTTGAAAGATCAGAACCCAAAATAATCCCCCCAAGTTTTCAAGAAAAATCCAGTATTCTTAACCATGTATCACTCAACAAGTAAAAAAATAAATGCAACCAAATTTAAGATGGTGTTCAACGTCCAATTGGGCCCAAACTCAAAGGGTGACAGTTCAGATCACATACCACTGACCCAATCATGACTCCAAAGTTACTGAAGCTCTTCAATGGATTCAGAGAAGTAATATTAACCTATGACACATCCCTGGATATGGCACGTGGCATAAGAAATATTACCGAACCAGCCAAGGCCAGGATGGACCTGGTCATGTGAGACTGTATATTTCTGAACTATACAAGGAAAAACCCCACAATATGGAAGGAACAGAAGATTGCCAAATGACTAGGGGTGCAATATGGGTCAGGTTGGGTCGGGAATTTATTAACTTTTCAGTAGGCCCAAGGCCAATGTAGTTGGAATTCCTCAAATTGGGTAACCCTGACTTGCGGCCCTAAAAATGGCCCACCTATTTCTTCCACTTGGAAAAAACCTGTGATCAGAACCCACCACTGTACAATATGGGCCAGGTTGTACACATGTACAACCCAGTCCACACCCAACTTTTAGAGGAACCAAAGCAACTAATAGCTATCAAAATCTTCAATTTTTATTTAAAAATAAAATAAAGCAGGGCTCCTTGACTAAATGGGCTGTAGCAAACTTTTTGGGATTGAAACTTATCTGATTAATTTTCTAAAAAAGTACCCAATTAATAAAGTTTGGGAAGAGGAACATGAGGTTTCTTGGGGGCTCCAAAAGCTGTTGCTACATGGAAGAGTACGGGATAATTTTTGACTCCTTGGTTAAATGAAAATGACACTCCCCTTTTTTCTTGCACAAGTATTTATATTTTTAACATAAGTATAATATTATATAGTGTTTCTTATTCAATAAACTTATGAGTAGATAAAACAACATAAGGAAAATGTACCAGAACAGGGACACAAACCTAAATAAAAAATGGAGCATAATCAAGAAACCCCGTACAATGAGAGTCTACTCCGGAAATCAGGAAAACATATTATTATATACAAGTAATATGCATGTACAAGTACAACCAAGTAAGCTGGATCAGAACAGACAATCTGGCCAGAGCAGCTAACCCTAATCATGCTTTAGCCAGCCAGCCTAAGGCCACCCAGGTCATACAGGCTGGTTTCCCATTGCCACCCCCATTTACCAATACATATACATGAAGGCATGCCCATTAATAGTCTCCAGGAGCTCAAAAAGGTGACCATGGTTTTCTAGTACTTAGTTTTTGATCTTTCATTCTTTTCAGATTACAATACCAAATATGCATATTGTATTTATATGCTATAATAATGGATCTTCCACTTTTTTCAAGGGCACGTTCTGTAAACATCCTGTTAGTTCACATAATCACATTGCAATAGCAAAGATGCATAACATATAGCCCCCCTTGCATGAATTGCATGTTTACATATCAGTTATCCACTCAGCCATGCATGTGCTAAAAGTCCTTCAAAATCAATGTGAAGATCACAAACCTTTGGCATGCATATTTTTCCTACAACAGATAAGATGTATTGTTAAATGCTTACCACGATAACCCCAACCTCTGCCCCGTCCACCTCCTCGACCCCAGTTCCAATACCCACCATTTTCTGTCAAGAAAGGAGAAAAATTTAAGGGCACATGAGGAAAACAAAAGATAAAACAGAACAGTATCAGCTTAGTATAATACCTTGATTGCTTCCATATCCCCCTCTTCCCCAGCCTCGCCCTCTCCCTCTACCACGACCTCTCCCCCGGCCATATGAATCTAAATATCACATTGTAGAAAGCACGTTAGAATCTTAACAAGGTCTACATTAGAAAATGTTCCATTTCCAGATCCTCTAAAATGCTAACCTTCCAAACGCCCAGCAACAACCCACCCCCTTCAATCAGCATTAATGTTTGAGGTGGCTTACCTAGGAAGCCATAGATGGGAGACCTGGATTTCCCATGTATTCGGTGCCAATTACCAAAGTCTGTGTCATCTCTAAATATGTGTCTCATTTGGACTCTTTGACCACAAAACCAGTTGTCAAAGCTTTAAGTTTGTTCTTCACTAAAAAGGTTAAAAAAGAGGGAATTTAACTAAACCTACGCAAACAAGGACAGGGGTGAAGTGACACTTGTTCTTTCAGGGCATCAGCTAACCTTCCATGCGTATGGTCCCCGGATTTCATAGATACATTTGCTAAACCAAAATACCCATCTTTAAGTTACAAATAATTGGCATTTTTCACCCCTACTTGAGGTATACCTTCATTAGGCCCAGCAATCTGTGGAGGTGCTTGTTTTGGTTGATGCTGCTGTTGTTGATAATGGTTTTGCTGTTTTGGCTGCTCTACATGTAATGGAGCTTGGTACCTGTCGAACCACATATTCTCCTCTTAGATTATCCCAAAACAACATGCCAAACAGAATAAACTAAGAGAGGCACACTTAAGGGGCTCAAATTGATAAAAGCATGCTCTTAGAATGATTTTAACCAATCAACAATCCAGCACATCTAGATTACCCAGGAGAATTCTTGTTTAGCTCCCTTGTTGACAAAGAGATTGAAATCATTGAAACATGGCGAGTCATCTCCAAACTGCACATACCATTTATATCCAGTGGTATCATTAAGATATTATATTGAATTGTTTATAGACATTGGGAAAAAGAAAAAGGACAGATTAGACACTTACGGAACAAGACCCTCCTCAATAGGCTCCCATATGTCAGTTATGCTTGTAGAGCTAATGGTAGTTTCTTGATGCAACCCAGGGATTCTCTTCTGTTTTTATATAAAATGGCTGAGTATTAACCTATGTCACGGAGTCCAAACATTGGGGAAACAATACCTCAAAAAATAGTTGAAACCAACCTTTATAATCTCTGCAATAGCCACTGTTTTGCTGATTGCCTGTCCCATTGCCTTCAGAACGATCTCTCTTACCCGTTTCTCCTGAAGATAGAACTTTGTTGATTGATACACTGCATCATATGATTTTAAATGGAGAGGAGAAGACAACATATAGCTAGCATAGTTCTTTTTCCAGAATCATTTTGTTAATCATGATGATAGCCCCTAGCCTGCCTATCTCTCTTTCTTTCCTTGCATTGTAGGTTGATGGCTGGGCATGTGATTTTTTTGGGTGTTAGAAAGAGTACTATACAAACCTGGGGTAGCATGTCCCAGATTGAGTTTAGAATCAAATAATGTTTTAATGTATAAAACATTAAATATCTCTACCATTGCTTGAAAATAGGTCAGCTACCCCATATCCATCCCTATAGACGTGTATGCTTATATTTGGACTTCCATTGTAAAAAATGTTTTCCATGTATAATTCATAGTTGATTGAATGTGCCATGGAATAGGACAAGTCCTTAGGAGGCATCCTATAACCATCTGGCAATCTCCCTTCATCCATATCTCCCTCCATCCTTTGTCTTGTAATAGCATAGTGCATAACCACTCCTCAAACCACTACTGCTTCAGCTAGACCAACCAATGTGTGTCCTAGATATTTCATAACCATGCTTTCTACTACCAGCTAGCACAAACTAAATAAACAGCATGTAAGCTAATGTTTTGCAAGAACAATCACGATCAACTCGGAATGGATAAATAGAAAAAGGAAATTGATGAACAATGAGAACGTTAGTTCTAATTTTTTCTCCCCACCTTCTGGTTGGTTACATTGTTAAAAAACTCAGAATGGACAAAATACATGAAGTAGCCCCTAACTGAATAAAATAAAGATAATAAATGATATTCAGGTTGTAAAAAAGGATTTGACTCCCTTGCTGTTTATTGGAAAACCATTTGTCAAGGAAGATAGAACGCATCTGATCTTCTTTTGGTTCTCTAAACTGAAAGAGTTTGTAGGCTTCAAGTTTAGTCATTTTCACAACAATCTGGTAAAAAGAATGGTAATTTTTTTGATGTTTAAATGCAAAGGTTGCATTTGCTTTTCCATAACTGCATGTCGTAGAGGAACCAGGGAATCACCAAAACCACTCCTGCAGAAGTAGGATTAAAGTATTCCTGTCCTTCACAACTGCAGACCAGGATATGTCTTCCCCACATCATGTCCTGCCTTACTAGCGACCTTTCTCCAAACAAATTCCTAGGATTCAACAAGAAATGATCCTCTCTGTCCTCTTTATTTTGTTAACATGATTCTGCCCAAGTGAGATGTAATTCCTCTTCCAACCACCAATTTTTTTAAGAACCTTTCTATCACCATGTCCTAAAAAGACAATTGATCTAGAGTTGTAGTCTAAAGGGAGTCTCCAAGTACTGAAAAACAATCAAATCATTCACAACCTATAACTCTACCAGTCATCTATCTCCAATGGGGTCTAGACTAAACCTAAGATGCCACTCTTAGGGAGATTAACTTTCAGCTATGATGCCCAGTTACAGATATGGACAGAATCATGGCCATGGGTATGAAAAATGGGGAATTTGATACTCATAAAAAACAGAAATAAGGATATGACTCCACATTTCCTAAAATCCTAGACATAGGTAGGGGTACAGGTATCCCATGTACTATGATTATATTATGCATGTATAATTAGATTTGAAGCTTATTGTCATTTTTCAAGACTTATATTTTTCCAACACTAGTACAATAAGAATATACAGGTATTGGGATCTCATAAACTTTCAGTCATGAGATATTTTTCAAAAAACTCAATGTAATTATGTATGCATGCATGCATGCAAAGAGCTTTCCCCTCTCCCCCTACTCCAAAAGCTCTAATCATCCCCACCCATTAGTTCCACTCACAATCTACTCAATACATGCACCACAATTAGAATGTCTGAGAACATATCTCTTGGTTGAATCCTCATTTTCCCTTGAAAGAACTTTTGAATCCATTTATCAAAGTTGAAATGCATGTAAGGCTAATCCACTTTCTCCATCTTTCCCCAAGTCCAGTGCCTCCAGTCAGCACAAGGCCTACTTTTACATTCTTTTTTCAGCAAATTCAGAAGACCTTTCATTTCCTTATAAGCTCTCCAAGCTGTAAGCTCTTCTAACTTGAGGTTACTGTCATGGGAGTAAACCTTGTATGTTTTACATGCCTATTTTATTTGAATATATATAATGGATAAGTTGTTTCTAAAATCAAACTCAACAAGGCTCGTATGTGACAACTGACAAAGTCATCCATTACCAATTTTCTCTTAGAGAAAAGTTCAAAACCAAAAAAGAAGAAACTTGAAAAAATAAAAGATCAAGAAAGATATTAAGGACTCCTTAGTCCCCCCTCAAAAAAAAAATCTAAAGTTTTATCTGATAATGCATCCAACTAGGACAAGTCCTTGTCCATTCCTCCTATTATCTAGAGGGAAACAACAGAGAACATATATTTTCCAACTAGAAATGGAGAAACATCATGGATTTTTATGAATTAGGATTTTTTATCTCCAAAAAACTCCAAAACAAATCCTATCAACCTCTTCAACATTATGTACAAAAGTCTTTCTTTAGAAAGGAGTCTTATTACAAAAAAGCTCATTAAAAATTAAAAAAAAAATAACATTATATTATGTACAAAATTGAGCCATGGTCAATCAATAAAATGGTAAAATTGTAAGGTTTACAGGTCAGGCAATGAATTGTAAAATTTCAGCACTTACCAAAAGATAACCAAAAGGAAATAGTATATGTTACCTAAAAGCAACAAATAATTAAAGGAAAAGAGTTGAAAGAAACCCTCCTTGAAAAAGAATACAAAGGGGATTAACACAAAGAAAAAATTAATATAGCATTTTGAGAAAGATGTGTAGTTTTCATTCTCTTGTACAAGACTGTTAGCAGGAAATGTACCGAGCAATCAGCAATGAATAAGCAAGCATTTTGGATGATAGATTTCAGTTCCACATGATGGGGAAAAAATAATCCCTTTAAATCTCAAAATTTTAATGGACACAACCGCCTTTTCTAGCTAGTTCAAGTGTGAGTGACAAGAAAATAAGTACAAAAATACAGACAAAATCACAAATGTACTCAATTGGATCCATCAACCATATAAAAGAAACCCCCACCCCTTGCATCCTCTATGAAATTTGGGTTAATAAATGGTTTTAAATCACATTATCTTTGAATAAATCCATCTAAAAAATAAATCGATACTCAAAAATGAAATGATGATACTTCAAAAGGTAAAAACCTGAAGAACCTAACGCGTATAAAGACGATTATGAATAAGAAATTCTGAAAAAAAAAGGAAAATCCCTACCAGTTACTGCTCTGAAATAAGCAGAGAAAATGCGCGTGGAAAGGGAAGTGAGAAAATCAGTAAATAAAATGTAACCTAATCAAGCATTGTTTCTTGCAGCTAAAAAAAAAAACAAGGTTTACCAATTAAAACGGTCTGCATCATGTAGAAACCGAAGAAGATAAATTCATATAAACTGAACACATTATGCAAACAAATATACCAACATGCATATATACATATAGACAAAAGTCAAACTGTGCGTATAGAAGTATAGAAACAGAAGAAGAACAACCAAAAAGGCAAAAATAAACCAAGGAAACTCATTATCCAACTATTAAAACCAACAAGCTATAGGCGACTAACAGAGTTCCAAAAACCCTCCAAAACCCATAAAAGAGAACCAAAAATACTAGATTCAAGAACAACAACAGAGACGCTCAGCACCGATACAAATAAAACAAATAAATAAAAAGAAAAAGAAAACGTGAAGTGAACAAAATATAGAAGATACAGACGGTCCAGAGAAATGGAAGATTTGATTACCTGAAGAAGGCTAGTGGCATAGGTGATATAGTTCCTGATCAGACCCTGTGTAGTGATCCGAATCTCGTTCTCGTTGATGGTCGATTCGGGCTTCGGCTTCTCGACTCTCTGGTATCTATCCATGGCTTGGAGGATGAATCAGGGGAGTGCTTAGGCAGTTGTTTGGTTGAGAGAAGAGGAGGAGGAAACGGAGGAAGAACCCCAAAACCCTAGCAGGGGGGCTAAAACCTCAGCAGCAGATTCTGAACAGCCAAGCATGGAAAAGGGATGTTGGGAGATTAGGGCACATTTTAAACACACACACACACAAACTGGAGTCTGGAGACAGGAGAAACCAGGTACCAAAACCAACACCTTTGGGCAATGGATATTGGGGGATAATTTTGCATTGGGTTCTGTGTGTCCACTTACAACCAAAAAATGACTCAGAGGTACCTTTCAACTGAAATTACCAAAATACCTTCATCCTTTCTCCATTTTATTTTTCATTTTTAATATTTATTTATTTTTAAGGATATACATTGCCATGACCCAAGCAATAATGCTCATTTTCAGACCGACCGATAAAGCTCACGTGGAATGTAAGTTGGCAAACCAACTTGTGGTAGTTAATTAATTAGTTTCATATTTTAAAAGATAAGGAAAACAAAATAGTTTTATTTTTTGAGTATAAAAAAATAAACATGTAGTTTAATTAATTTTAGTTCCTATTATATCCTTTTTTCGTAGTGTTTTTTGTTTGGGTAAAAATATAAAAACCTCCCCTAGATTTTTGATGATCATAAAAACCACCCTAGTGTCTTCACTTTAATAAATACCTACTTTGTATTTTCAAAAATAATATAGCTACTCTTTTGCCAAATGTTGGAAATACTAATGTTGATTTTGTCTGATTTGAGGTGTTTCGAACTGATCAATTGGACGAGGCTAAGGTGAAAGGACGAAGCCGCGCACCAAGATATGTAACAAGGGAAAGGTTAGAGGCCCGAGGAGTTATTCTCTGGGTAGGTACTCCAACTCTAAAGTCAGTTGGGTGGAGAAAGATGTGGTCGGGCCGAGCAAGTTGAGATCATGCTGGTCCGAGCAGAAGAGGTAGTGCAGAAAGGTATTAAAAGAGTGTTATTCCTTACCTCAAGTGGAGAATACCTATTTATAGTTGGTTGTCCATGTCCTAGGTGCATAAGACTTCTGGGGTTGTCGAGATGAGGGCGTCCATCGAGGTCTTTGAGAGGTTTCATCTTCCCCAGCGGAGTCCACTTCCTTGTCCGTACAAGACACTCCTTAGTAGTGTTTTTTCATTACACGTGGTGTTGATGTGGCTTGAGGGAGGGGGCGGCCGTGAAGATAGCCACGTGGCTTCCTTGGCCAACTCAGCCATCACCCGAACATATGTAGTGCATTTGTTTTCTCAAAATGCCAATTTTACACTTTTGTCTTCTTTTTTTTGATAGATGAAGATAAAAATATATTAAGACAATCCACAAAGAGAAGAGTCTGACCAACTGGGAGAATCCTCTTAGTACCTAAAATCCTCAGTTCTTTTGGCTTCTTGGGCTACATGATGAACAACCAAGGTAAGCTTTCTGTTTTTATAATAAATATTTTTAGACAAAAACTCTAAATACAAGTTCTTAGCATTATCAAGATGATGAAGCAAGGATCTCTCAAAAAACTCTAGGTGTCCATCCAGGGCCTCTACAAGGGTCTTCGCATCTGTGATGATGATTAAGCTGGTCTACCCATTCAACTTTGCAAAAAGAAGACATTTTAGGACTTCTATGTGTTTCAGCTTTCAAGGGGCTACAAATAGAAGTAACTTGTTACCAACAGCTCATAGAAAACTTGAGTTACAATCTAAAAGGACTAATCCATAGGATCCTTGATTCACTTGACTGAAGCCTCCATCATATACTATAGCTATTTTATTTTCAATGGGATGATTTGAGTAATGCTCTTGGTGAGAGCCAGTGGCAAAGCAGGGTTCCTCTTGATTCTGATTGTTGGTCGAACTATTTCCATGTAAACAGATTTGGATTTACCTAAGGACCCAAGAAGTATCCTTAAAGTCATTTTTGAAAGAGCATTGTGTCCTATGTTGACAAATAAAGTACCAAGCTGTAGCAATCCATGACAGAGCTTGGGTCAGAAGAATTTTGTTATTAAATTTTTTGATACAAATAGGATAAGGCCTCATGGAAGGATTGGAGATTGTGAGGGGAAACTATCGACCATGGGCTAGCAAAGAGGATAGCTCTTGCTAGGGGACACCATAAGAATAAATGCAAAGAGTTTTCCTCATTTTGATCACAAAGGGTGCAAATTGTGTTATTCAAAAGGCCTCTATTTGAAAGATCTATCTTACAAAGCACAAAATCTCTTACAAGTCTCCACAAGAACAATTTAATTTTGGGGGGACATTTTATTTTCTAGGAGAATCTTACCCATTTAGTGCAAACCCTTAAAAGACAAATTCATGTTATCCCAAAAAGAATTATAAATTTGTTTGGTGGAGAATTTTCCATTTTTTGATCCAGTCCATAGAAATTTGTTTGAATGTTAATTTAAGATAGATGTGTTGAGGATTAGTTCTTTAAATCCTGGAACGGTGGATTGGATCTTACTTAGGTCCCAATTTGGGGAGTCTTGCTGTGTTAGGTCCTTAATCATCATTGTTCCATCTTTTCTGGGGTGGACCCCGAGGGGCAATGAATTCTCCATTATTTTGAATCCAAGGGAAGTCCCAAATTACAGCCCTAGAGTTTTTGGATGGTTTTACCCCTATTTTATGATATATGTGGCTGCAATCTTCTATTATGTTTTTCCAAATTCTGGAAGCTGTGGTGGCAACTTTCCTAGGCATGGATTGTTTCCCCAAGAGATATTTGCTTGTTAGGACTTTCACCCATAGAGACTCTGGTTCTTGATGAATCTCCAAGCCAATTTAGATAGGAGAGCTTTATTTCTAAAAGACAGGTTACCTAATCTCAGACCACCTTTGTCCTTTGGAGAGTAAAGCTTATTCCAGGAAGCCAATTTTAAATGTTTTCCTCCTCCTTTATCATTCCACCAGAATTGTCTCTGCATCTTTTCCATTTCTTTTATTATTTTTTGAGGGAACTTTTCTATTCTCAAACAATATATAGGAATTGAGTGCATGGAAGATTGAACAAGAGTTTGCTTTCCAACATACGACAGGCTATTTTCTTTCCATTTACTAAGCCTAGTTTTAAGTTTGTCTAGCAAAAAGCCATGGGATTGACTCTCTTTCTTTTTCCAGAAGAGAGGGATTCCTAGATATTTACTTTCATCACCACTTAGAGTTAGAGGGACAATCTTCAATTGTCTTCATATCATCCTAGCTCCTTTGCTTGGAGAATTCTTGCTAAAGAAAACTCCTGATTATTGGAGGTTGATAGTGAGACTTGACAAAACTTGAAAGTTTTCTAGAAGGTCTTTAAAAGTCAACAACCTCCTCTGGATTAGCTTTCCCCAGAAGAAGGACATCAGGTGTGATATTGGTGGGGAATCCTTTTTCTATTTTAATGCCTAGAAGCTTTCCCCCATTGTTTGCCTTAAGCCTTGAAAGGCCTTCCATAACTATCAAAAATAAATAAGGAGATACAGGATCTTTTTGTCTTATTCCTCTAGAGGGAGTGATGTGGCCTTCCGAGTCTCCATTAACCAGAATAGAGAACTAGATAGTGGTGATATAGGTTTTTATCATTGCACACCAATCCTTAGAAAAGCCAAGGGTAGCAAGGGCCCAGATAATATAGTCCCATTCTAGAGAATCAAAGGCTTTGGAAATATCTAACTTCAATGCCATGTATCTTGATTTAGCTTTCCTAGTCTTAAGATAGTGGAAGAGCTTTTGGGCTAAGACAAGGTTGTCTTGGATCATTCTACATTGAGCAAAGGCCACTTGAGAAGGGGATATACACTTCTCCATGAGAGGCTTCATTTTGTTATCTAGTAGTTTTGCTATGATTTTATAAGTGACGTTGATGGAGGCCCACCCCATCATGGAGGCCCATCTCACCATATGGGCGGCGGTTCATAGGATTGGGGAGCTTGCAGGATAAGGATAATTCAAGAATTCAAGATTATTCTATAATTCAAGAATTCAAGATCCATCAATAATTCAAGAATCCAAGATAAATCAAGAATTCAAGAATCCAAGATAGTTCAAGAATTCAAGATACATCCAAATCCAAGATTCAAGGAAGTTCAAGATCCAAGGCAATTCCAAGAAGACAGGATAACTCATGCACCAGGGAGATCGGATGATGGAGATCAAGCCAAGAGTGTTCGATCCTATCAAGACAAAGATCAAGATCAAGAAGAGTTCGATCCTAGCATATTAGAGATCTATCACAATTTTTCTTTCCTAGTTATTCTACAATTTCCAAATGTATTATAAATATTGTTAATTCCAAGCTAATAGACACTTCAGTTTTTYGCCACCTTTTCTCTCTCCTCTAGAGATTTACGTTTAGCTTCGCTAGAAGCTGGTGTTCGCCCGGTGCTTGCATAGCCAGCTCGGTTTTCATTGCTTCCACGCTACGTCAAGTGGTATCAGAGCAGGGAGTTCGCCCAGTCAAATAGCCAACCAAGACGGTAGCAGTCGCAACCCACCCCGTGACGGAGATCAGGGATTACAAGTTGTTTGGAGAGCAATCGAAGAGCAGCACACGGCCACACGTAACATCGAACAGCAGTTGGCAGAGATGGCTGAACAACTGCGAACCTTGTTACGGGAGGTTGTTCCATGAAACCGGGAAAATCTACATCCAATCGAAGGAGACGACCACGACAGACCACCCGTCAACACTGCATCCCGACATTCAGTTTTCGATGATGAAAGTAACGACAAGTTAGGGTTCAGTGCTACTCCAGTTATTCCCGGCAACGGCAGAAACGGTAGGAATTGGCGCAACCCAAGTACTTTCAATCCCCGCCAGAATAATGATGAATTTAAACTCAAAGTAGACATTCCTACTTTTAGTGGGGATCTTGGCATAGAGGGACTTCTAGATTGGATCACAGAAGTCGATTGTTTCTTTGAGTACATGGAGATACTAGAAGAACGAAGGGTAAAATTGGTAGCTTTCTGGTTAAAGGGAGGCGCATCTGTTTGGTGGGAACGCATGAGAGAGACCCGGATCAGAGAAGGAAGGGGTCCTGTTCGAACCTGGAGGCGCATGAAACAGCTTATAAGAGGTAGATTTTTATCCCCAGATTATGAACAATATATGTTAGAATCATATCAACGATGTGTGTAGGGTTCCCGAAGTGTTAATGAATACACATCTGAATTTTTAAGATTAGCTGAAAGAAATCAAATATCTGAAAGTGATAACTAGCAGGCAACCCGTTATT